TTTATATATAAAAGGACATCATGTGTTTTAAAAACTTTGTCCAATTATATGAGTCATCAAATAGGTATTAACAAGTATAATAAACAAAATTGTATGAAATGTGATCAAAATATGACTTCAGACTACTAAATATTATACATACATACTTTATATATATGTATATATATATATATTAGTCTACTTTTGTTAAACAATTTAAATTGTTTTTATTTTCATTTTCTGATTACAACTTGATTCCACACCGTATTTTTGGTACAAGTATGGAATTTTCAGCATGGATATCGGTAGCCCAAATTTTGCAGGCCGACCATAGATATCAGGTGTGCGTCGGCCGGGTGTCGAACTTCTGACCATGTGCATGGTCGGCGAGAGTCCTAACCATTATGCCACCGACAAACCTATTATCAGATCGCATGCGACAAACGTTCGTGGCCGTAGAATACTGAAAATGAAAATATATATGTATATGCGTTAGACGATGGTGCGTGTGTATGTGTGTATGAGTAATCAGTTGTAAAATATTTCAGTGAATGAAAAATCCCCATATTGAAATCAAGGCAAGATTGTGAGCGAACAATTGTTTTGGATAACTTCTTCTTCCTCAGGCTCTACAGCTATAAATCCATGAATAATAGAGTACATAAAGTCAATATAGGCGAATGAAAATAATATCAGAAACTGTATTGGGGTGCATGTGTAAGTTGAGGTGATAGTGCACTAGTTAGGATAGTCAATTAAATGTGTATAGGGTATTTAGTCAGAAAAATGTGAAGTGTGAATGAACCATTGGGTGATATAGTGTTGTTTTATAGTTAACAGAATACAAGTGTCCTTGGGGTGAGAAAAATGCGATAACCACAGAATACATGTAAAGACACGTTAAAAAATGAGGCACTGGATATGAGGGCTGACCGATAATGTCTAATGATAAAATAAAGGGGCTAAATTGTAAATTGTAATAAAATGCTACAGAATTGGTAGGTTTAGTATAAAATCATAAAGGTTGACAAAGTAAGGGTAATAATGAGGTGAAATAAACTGGGTGGAGAAATGGATAATAAAGCCATGATATCACAAAATAATAATAATGATAATAATAGTACGAAAAAATTATGATCCTGAAGACCTTATAGTGGGCCAGGGTAGACAAAGAGAGTCAATAAGTTTTTTCTGTACACATAGGTCTGGTCTCTCTCCAGTATTAATCTCTAAAGCCTCAGCTATGGCTAGGAGGCGTAATCGTGTGCATTTGGGGAGATTGTTCGATACTCGATACACATTTAATTGACTATCCTAACTAGTGCACTATCACCTCAACTTACACATGCACCCCAATACAGTTTCTGATATTATTTTCTTTCGCCTATATTGACTTTATGTACTCTATTATTCATGGATTTATAGCTGTAGAGCCTGAGGAAGAAGAAGTTATCCAAAACAATTGTTCGCTCAAAATCTTGTAAAATATTTGTATGGCTCTCGATAAGAATATATATTTACACTCAGGAATTTCGACCAGGTATGATTAATTAGTGATACATATCCATTTTTGTTAATTAATCACTATTTACTATGCATCGGCCAGCATTCCACCCCCATCTGTCCACGCATTTATGTAGAGCATCCACAACCAATCTTTCTTCATACAAACCAAAACCTTTATGTTTAATCCTAATCCTATCAAAGTCCACTTTCTTTCCTGCTTCTATGGAATGCAGTGCAATCGCTGCTCCATTTTCCAGCTTCTTTAAGTCTGCAGAGGTCCTTGGAATAATTTTTAGATATTATTTATGCTCTTTCACTCTTATATTTACCTGTCTAGAAGTTTTCCCTACATAGTGCGTCGGTGGAACAGTGGTTAGGACTCCCACCAACCATGCACATGGTTCGAGGTTAGATCCCCTGCCGACGCACACCCGATATCTATGGTCGGGCTACCGATATTCATGCTGAAAACTCCATACTTGTACCAAAAAAACGGTGTGGAATCAAGCTGTAATCGGAAAAACCGGAAAAAAATATATATGATGTCGAAGTCCTCACAATTGATCTGGTGCACACACGTCTGTCGGCTCTAGTCTTCTACGGTGTTAGTAGCACGAAAATGCACTCTTATGTCATGATCGTTAAGGATTCGCATTATCTCATCCGATGTTTCTTCGCGGTTAGGAATCACCGCTGTACTCACCGAAATTCTTAGCAACAGTTTTCGATCCATCCTTATCTTCACATTTTAAATATCTTGTTATGAAGGCTTGAGGATATTTATTTTATTGAAGAGTTGATGGAATGAATTTAGGTTCCTTGCTAATCACTTCCACCTCAGTAACTAGACGTTGGCTATGTTAATCAGACCATGGAAACAAAATCCTTATCGTCTTTTTCAACCTAGTTGCAAATCTTGATGATTTCTGACATATTGTTCATTAAATGGAAACGTTCATTCAACAAACTAAGTCTGATTTCGCCAAATGTATCATCCACATATCTGATTTCAAATATTTGATCACATTTCATACAATTTGGTTTATTATACTTGTTATTACCTGTTTCATAACTCATATGATTGGACAAAAGTTTTAAAACAAAAATGTCTTATATACTTAAATCTCTTATCATGAATAAAATGTCAGTCTGAATGAAGAATATTCTTTTCAATAATTTCTCCTATTCAGGTTCTTAGAATTATAAAATACAACATTTACTGTCGTTACAATAAAGGTCAGTTATGCGGCGGATACTTTTTTAACGTAGAACAACAGATTAGTTATGGGGTGTCAGAATAAGTAGTCGTATTTGTGTTACAAACGTGGTAGGCTGAAATCAATCACAAAATATTGCAAAACGGGAGACAATGGTGGTGATTAATCATAATAGATTTGCGGAGTGTGGGACAGGGAAATTGACAAGTCAGTTCAAGGTTATAGAAGGTGTAAGGTGAAGTACAAAGTGGTATGTATCAATGAGGAGGAGATAGTAAGACTGCAATGAGAGGTGGTTCATAATGAAATGACGAATGTCTGAAATAAAACAGGTGGAGGCACATATTGAAGAAACAGATAATATCGATAGTATTGAGGGAAAGTTTGCATGAAGGGCATAAATTATGAATAATAATAATAATAATCATTTTAATAATAATATTTGGAATAATAAGCAAATGAAAAAAACAAGAGGGTTTAGGGGGATCAGCACTCTTGGTGAGAAGAAGCATCATCAATCCTATATTGGCCACGGTAGGAACAGCGTCTGAGAAATGTTATATGCAGGAAGAAGAGCTAAGGTTAGGTAAGACATCTTTGAGTTGCTGGGTGAACATTGGACGGCTAGTAAAGGATCAACACAGACATGCAAAGTAGAAAGTTTCCTTGATCGCCCTGGTTAAACGTTGCAAAAGAATGTCCACAGGAGTATCTCTCTTGAATTGGAGATGTAAAAAAGGGCTTTTTTTCCACCGTTGACAGTTCATGTTTACGACTTTTGTAACCTATATTGCATTTCATGAACTTCTCTAGATATCCGTTCTCGCTTAGAATGTCTCGGATGACCTGGAGTTCTTTCTATGCGCAGTCTTCGGAACAAATAGACCTCGCTCTAAATGCTAAGCACCTGATTAGATTACGTATGTATTTCATCGGTACAAAGCTAAGGAAGTGTGTATATTGAGCTTTGTTCTCTAGCTTTCTAAATATGGTTCTTTTGACGGAAACAACCTCTCCTCTCGTTAGTAAGACGTCGAGGAAGTGTAGAGAGACATTGTATTCTCCTTCGTAGGTAAAATGGATCGCTGGGTGAGCATTATTGAAGTTGTTCAAAATCAAATCACAAATCAACCATTCATCGTACACTACAAAGTGTCATCCATGTAACGACAATACATTTCCATTTTCGCTATTTCCTCTTTCAACGGACTATTTTCTAGTTTTGCTAGAAATATATTCGCGAAAATAGGTCCCAGTGGGAAACCCATGGCTACTCCATCAACCTGTCTGTATATTTCATTATTAAACAGGAACTGAACATTCGTTGTATATTTAACAAGTAGTTGTTTTGTTCATTTCAATTAATTTCCCTGAAGGTGTTTGGACCGGATTGCCGAACGAAATGTAGGAATTAATCATTTCAATTTTGCTGAGATTTTACAAATTTCAGTGATACTCAGATCGCTGTTCGAGATCGATATCAACAGTTAAGCGTGATCGCCAACATAAAATGGAAAGTTATTCGTGTGTTGTTTCAAGCAGAATAGAGACCGAGTTTATCTGATAAACGTTCACAGCGTTAAACAGTAATATTCACTGATGATTACGTTTCAAACAATTTACTGCTTATAATCATATCAGGTTACTCACACAACTTTCAATCTCATTACCATGATTCAATATTTTCTCATCTCTTGAATCGAATGTTAGTAATATCTTCCACATTCCTTAGTTACATAAAGGGTTTGAACATTTCCCGGAAAGTGTTTCATTTTAATGGTACCAAGAGATTCTGTTGGCATCTTCCTACGGAAACCATATTCAATCTCTTCGAGATATCCTGTAATTGCACACTGCAATATGTCACACTGTGGGACATAATCGCCACAGAGTGTGGATCACATTGTTCATTAAAGTACCTGATATGAACCTAGTAAAAGATCACGCTTTGACGACCAGGCGCAAGATCATCATACAAATCAAGGTTTTCATCAAAACGTTTTTTACTGTTTCATATTTGATAATTCTACAAATTTATCACTTTTCACGAAATAAAACCACATGATTCGATATAAAATATTTTCAGTTGTGATTTCAATGGTTTATTGAACATTCACGAGATGATATAATTATGAACACAAATCAAAATTGCACGTTAATTGAAACCTTTGTGATCACTGAATAAACGCGACTATGAATGTAAACAACTATGAATCAAAGTATGAAAAATGAGATGGATATATATTCAACCATTAAATGAGATTTTATCTAAGTCCATTCTATAACATCTGGTGTACGATGGCTGATTCTTTGCTGGTAAGAAATTTTATTCTTTTCATGTGTCTTTTCCTCCCCTGTAATCTTCCTATTTCGAATTTCATTATTTGATAATTTATGAGGTTTAATGCTTGATTTGAACATCGAAAAGTCATCGTAATATCAGAGAGTTATTACTGCGACAAAGAATCTGGTTCTTCACGTCTTTCTAATTTTTCATATCTATTTGATCGACACCCCATTAACTGAATATCTGAACAGTTGCTTGAAGTCGAATTTTTCTGCATCAAATATTCATAGAGTGATGTTAAGCATTATTGTCTCACTACAATGTTATGTGCATTTGTAACGTTATTTCATAACTGTTATGTGAATTTGCTGGCTCAAGTGACTAGAAAATCCTATCAGAATTGCAAATGATATGGAATTCATTTTTCCTTATTCAGGTGGGTGAAACTTCTGGCTTTTGTTGGCGGGAGTATTCCACAATCACTTGCATGTAAGAATTTTTGATTTCCGCAATCTTTCCAATATATGCAATTATTAGTTATTAATTGTAAATAAAGTTTTTGTTTACTGATGATTATAACCTCAAGAATCAGACTGATCAGTTGTAAGTAACTAAAGCAAACAAGAGTTCCACTGGTTCCGGGCAAGAATTTGAAATCAGGTATGTACGATATGTGCTTTTTAGTATCACCTTATTAGTGATTGGTTATTTAAGATATATTGATCATTTTGGAGTCCTGGTATTCGAGGTGAACGCTGGTCTTCAGAGAAAAAGACACCGTGCATCAGTGTTGCCAACGAAACGCTAGACAGAAAAGTGAAGATTTGTCGTAAAATTAGGGGAATTTTACGTTCAGTAATTTTGACGAAGCTCGGTGTCTCAATGTGTGTGAGTAGGTGAACAGGAGATAAGTTCAAATGATAATGATTCATCGGCCCGGTTGTTCAGACAGATACTTGACGAAATGAAACAAATTGAACGTTACGGAGAGAGGATACTAAATATTCTCCCGGTGTCCCTCGATCGGATTTATCTGGTTTTCGATTATTCTTGGAACCAATTAACTGTCAACCATTGCAATGCTTATGGAATATGGTGTGTGAGTGTATGCTAGTTCCACAGTTTCCGGATATGTATACGTTTCTGCTTACTCTACAATAAACAAGTCCAAGCAAACAAAATCCTGTAGCTGCGCTGGTGTGCGTAATCGTTTTCGTTTGAATAGTGCTCTTTCTCCTTTTTATAACAAAATGTAACTTAAAACCACACACCATCACACCATTAAATTTCTTTACACGAATAACTATGTTTCAGCTTCTGAAATCTAGTAGTCATTTTCTATTTTCTGTATTTCAGAGTCCTGATTATGATTCTGTGTATAATATTGATCTTGACATTCAGAAATTATTTGAAAATTTCATTGTTCCTCATAGGAATAATAGTAAGTTTTTCAGAGTATCACGTTTCTAAGTCGCCTCTTTTTCCCTATGATCATTCTGTGTTTTGTTTTGCCAGTGCACTGGAAAATAGATTACAGTAAGGTAACAAAACATAGTAAAGCAGAATTTAATGAATTGATCATATTTCGGTAGAATCGCAAACTTAATAATAGCGATAATGATAGTAGTAGTGATAATAATAAGAAAATGTAAACGAGTTAGGTTTGTTATAGTGACAAAGGGGAGTTTTAAGTAAATGACGGATACTCAAAATAATGAAGCAGAATACTATAAAGAATAAAACAATTATAATAACAGTAAATAAGTGAGACCGGTTACTATGGCAGTTTCAAATTGATCATAATTTCCTTCTACACAAAAAAGACTGGGTCTGTAAACTCTAATGGCACATGCATCAGTATTTGTGGGTATTTCCGTATTTGTTTCAGTGCTGACAATAATGATTGGCTTAACAACGTCAGTCTCATACAACTAGCCTTCAAGATGCTTTGTCGCTGCAATCTTTGGTAGTCTGACCGCAACTGTTTTCAGTCACTCAGTAAAATGTGTCATTATTCAAGTGGACAATTGCCAATTTGTACTACTTTAGTAATTGGTAACACGAAAACACTCGAATCGATATTCCCAGTTTCAAAAGTCGGAGATTCGCTGACGAACTTTCACACACGCTTCGTGATGTGAAGAATCACACGCTTTGTGGCATGAAAAGTTCTCATGATGCCTTTATCAGATCTTTATTTGACTGCAACTTGTACGTCATCTTGTTTAGATGGTAGACTGGGAAGTACAGCTTTCTCCAAATTGTTTGGATAGTCTTACTGCAGCTGATTTCATTATGATGTATATTGATTAACCTATGAGAATACCTGTTCTTGAAGAAAATGCACTTCAGATTCCTTCTTTTATATTCATTTTGCCAACAGGTTGTGCTATTCTCTGCAAATATCTGCTTTGTCTTTTGCAAGAGCCTGGATTAGAATGTTTTATTTTATTGGGCTTCATTGTTCTAGAAGACTTGCTGACAATAATCTTCTGCATCTTGGCAAGAAGATTCAAACCAGCAGTGAGAATAGTTCTGATCTATTTATCGGTGGCTTCTATGACTATGATAGGTTTTGCTTGCCCTAAGGCGGAAGCGAGTGAGCTGGATGAAATGTTAAATGTTAATTCTCATTTCTTTATTTATTCTTTTTTATCACTATAATTATTTTTAATATTATCATTAATCGAATATAATTTCTGTCATTTACTTATCTCAGTATTCCTGATACCAAACATGAATTTGGTTGGTACTTGTATATAAATTCAATTATCTGGGTTCATTCACCCATCTGCAAAACATTTTCGCGATTCTTTGGGAAACTGTGTTCCATTCAAGGGAGGAACCTCGGAAGCCTTACGCAGAATTCTTAACAAGGCAGGGATAAAAGTGGCATTCAAACCCACAAACTCAATTAGAAACAAGCTTTGACGGTTAAAGGATCCTGTGGAGCCTTTAAAACAAAACAATTTAGTTTATCTAATACCCTGTAATGATTGTCAGGTCAAATGCATAGGTCAAACTGGTAGAACAGGAGCAGTCAGTCTAGCCGAACATAAAAAACCCAACTAAATCTAGATTGGTTGACTCAAATAAGATAAGTAATCTAGAGAGTAATTGATCTTTAGCAATCAGCACATGCAATTACACACAGCCATACATTAGGATGGAATAGGATGGCAGTTTGAAAATCTAATGTCACAGAGTGGAGGAGAGATTGATAACAGAAGCTTTATTTATCGAATCAACTGCAAATACGTGTAATAGGAATGATTCGTCACTTGTCCACCCAGATATCTGGAAAATTCTACTATCCCAACGACAAATAGGAGAAGAAAAAAATCTATAAAACTCAAGTTTCGAAGTCGTGTGATTTTGACTGATATGATTATGAACAATAAATTTTGTTCGAAACGTCACCTAGTAAACAATACTGTTTCACTGTGTGATATATCTAATAAATGAACTAATATGAAAATAATGAAAACTAGTTTGATTATTAGGATGTGGAGAATAGAGAAGGAGTGAGATAGACATAGAAAGAGAGCGAGAGAGATTGATGAATTTATGGGTAGAAATGTGGTCATAGTTGGTGAATGAGCATGATTCAATCGGTGTTTATATGTGTTTGTGCTTTTGTGCGTGTGTGTTCAGCCTGTTGAAGAAATATTCTCCCGACAGTAAATAATACTGTTTCACTGTGTGATAAATCTAATAAACAAACCAATATGGAATTGCTTACTACCACAGTGCCCGAGTTTTACACGTATATTAATATTCTCCCGACATCCTGTGAGCTACAGCCATCATCCCTCCCTTGACCTATCAAGACATAAACAACTGATGACTTCTACACTACCCCTTACTTATATTTTCTACCCTTCTCTAATTGTCCCTTGATCTTATCACATCTTCATCAAAAACGCGTTTCATTTACTACTCTTACAATCTAGAATTACTTATTCGGTTCATTTGTTTTTAATAGCCTTTGTCGACCACATTGGTTTGTTATAAGATTTGATAGTGTGAAATATTCCCATTTTATGATTGACATTTGTTTGTTGAATCATACTATTTTTCATTATTCGTGTTCCCACAGATCACCTTACTTTTTCATCCTTACCACAATAATAATTATTATTTAATGATTCACCATCTTATTATCATATAGAAAACACCATGACTGGTTTATATTAGAATTTTTAATCGTGAAGTTATGTATATTAGAGTTAAGCCTGATGAGATCTAATTGAAAACAATATTGTTCGCTTAAATATGTTCTTATAAATTTTACAATGAAAATATTTAACATATATTGGAATGATGAGAAAGTGAGACTTTTGAGGACAGAATTAACCTGAAAGCCTATTGAGAGGTAATCATGAGAAGAGTACTGTATGCTTATGTTTTCTTTCATTCACGCTCCCCAGTGGAACATAGGGCTTGAAGTTTCCGTATCAGTGTTTGTTTTACAGGATGGGGTTGATAGCCTCTTGCCCAACCTTTCACCTTTACCAGCATTATTTTTGCCTCAGATAGATAAAGGAGTGTGTTGGTCGGGAATCAAACCCCGGATCATGTACATGATCGGTAAGTGTCCTAACCGCTATACCACCGACACACAAGTGGTCCTAAAAAGGACCTTGATTCGTTATCGTGCGGACCACTCACCGGTCACAAAACATTCACACACGTTGGGGAAATTAACCACCAAAACCGTACAAAGCATGACCTTGGCGTTTCAATGCATTCGCAACATCCATATCTGTCACAGTCTTCGTCTTCTCATGCTCCGTGCAGGTCACAGCATCACGGATAACGTTCTCCAAGATCACGTTGAGAACACCACGAGTCTCTTCGTAGATCAAACCGGGGCTGGCTTCGTGATGCCTTGGATGTTGTCACGCAGGACTTTGCGATGTCTCTTTGCTCCCCCTTTACCCAACCTCTTACCACCTTTGCCGCGACCAGACGTGATTCAAGGGAAAGACTTGACGAGAACCGACACGAGACGTCTGCGTAATTCGCATGTGTGCGTGCCATGTTTTCATTTTAAGGAACAGGGATAAATGGAGATAGAGATGGATAAACAGACAGCAGATAAAATAGTCTTTGCGAAATTTGTGAGTGACAGAGAAAGAGGATTGTTAAAGTTTGTGTCACTGCTTTCGAAAGTTCGTTAAGCCTCTACTAGAAAGCAGCCCAGCCTGAAATGCTACTCTATCAACAACAAAACCCACCCATCTTTTCCTACATCCATTTTCCTATTGATAAATACTGACCCTCTGTGATTATGAATTGCACGCACATCCCCTACCACTATCTATTCTACATCTTCCTCCTACCTTTCTACTCTGATGGATCAATTAATATAGGAAAAAATCCTTATTTAGACATTTAGATTGCAGGAAGATTGAGCGAAGAAATATTTACTTTTCAGTTAGATCCTCATCTCTGACTCGACACTAATATATAATGTACACACACACACACAACAATTTACCAATCAAGAGGCAGTGTGTTTGTTAACGATAATTAGTCAGTGTCAATCAATGGGGTGATATTTAGCGAAGAAATGTATTAAACACAATTAAAAGGTAGAAATGGTTACAACACGTGGATGGCATAATGCATAATTCTGGAAAAATGGAAAGTAATAAAGGAATAAGTGTAGGCACAGGTTGATTACGTAAGAGACTTTTAAAGAAAGTAAAACGATTTGGACAATGAAAACTTGTAACTAAGGGCGAAGTGGTCATACGAATAAAATAATTTACAAGGATAACTTGTAATTAAAGATGAAGTAGTCAGGAAAATAGCAAAATAATTTGAACAATTATAATTTGTATAATTTTCAAAGGTTTAGAGGAAGTGGGCCGAAGTAGTACAGTTTATACATTCATGGAACGATGGCCAAGATAAAGAAAGTGGCCACACAAATTTCTTCTGAACACACAGGGTTGTCTGGCTTCTTCAGGTGGATTTCTGTGGCCTCAGCTGTACGTAGAAGACGAACTCGTGGGGCAAAATTAAGGTTAGTGGGACCGCGATAAATAATTTAAAGTGTTGTATCAACGCCAACCTTATGCTCACTATCTACAAGGTGTGATAAAATAGAGCTACGAATAGATCTTGTTTGTCCCTGGCTTAACCATGCTGGATGATGTTTGGAAATACGATGATGAAGCTGCCTAATTGTCCACTCGATGTAGCTAGCTCCACAGCTGCAGTCGAACTGGTAGATACGCATAGAAGAGGCAAATTTAGATTGTTTATCCTTATTTCTTGAACGTAGAGTAGGAGTGGTTGTGAAGAGACAACGTACAACTGCTGCATAAAAAGCTCTTTTAACTGCATTCTTCAGGCGCCGTGTTATTATTTTGCTGGCATTTTCAGTGAGGAACTGTAGTTTTATGAAGAGTGGTTATTTCAGAACTGTTGCCATACTGCCACTCCTTGGTGCTGAATTTATAATTTTCTCAATGAACTTATCTAATAATCTTATGCTCCTCATTGAGGGAGTCGTCTGAACAGATTAACCTAGCTCTATGAACCAGACACTTTACCAGGTTACGTTTATATTTCAAATGTACAGAACTCAAAAAATGAGTGTACTGACCTGTTGTAGTAGGTTTCCTGTACGCACTCCTTCTTAGTGTGCCATCTTCTTTCCTTGCCATGAAGACGTCTAGGAATGAGATACTTTCATTACTTTCTTTCTCTATGGTAAAGTTTATTGCTGAATGGGCGTCATTAAACCTTTAAGGGATGTTCATCGCATTATTCTCGTTTTTCATAACAGAAATTTATCATCCATATATCGATAGTAAAAATCCAAGTTATTAATTCCTCTTTTCAGTGGTTCATCCTCTAACTTAGTGAGGAAAAAATTAGCTAGGATTGGACGTAATGAGGAACCCATTGCTACACCATCAGCTTGTCTGTATTTTTCCTTATTGAGTAAGAAATGAACATTCATTTATAATGTTCACATAAACAAAGTGCTTTCAAGAAGCACTATGTGACTACAGCTCGATGACAGGTCATCAGAATCTCGATACAGAAGTATACTCAGTGTGTAATTACTTTTCAGTTCGTTGTGACATTTTCAAGATATAACATTCCCAAAACAATAGACACGTCGAAAATATCAATTTACACTGGGAATATTTTACCATAATGTGGTAGCTGAGATCCCTTAAAAATTTTAGATTCAACTATCATTTACCTGAATAATGTCTAGTAGACAGTTCCCTCCATCTTAAACAAAACTTGCGATCGTATAAATTTAAAAATACTAGGCGTAACTGGTTAGATTCCATAAATTTACCAAAGTGACTTTTCAATAATGGTGTCCACCTCAAGCATCTTTTGAGATCTGGGCATTTGCTTTCCAGTCAATCTCGAGTTCTGAAATTATACGACGTAATCTGTCAA